AGGGGGGAGCTGTGGCTGGGCCCCGGCCAATCTCAGGGAAGAAAGAGGTCAGCGGCCAATGGGAAGCTGGGACCCCTGGACCACGTGCTGTTGGCCGAGAGTCCGCGTGGGGTGCCCTGGGTGGTGAGGGGCGGGGGACTAGTCGTGGGAGTCAGGTGACCAAGGCTGAGTTTCGGGGAGAGGCTGCAAACTCCCAACGTCCAGAAAAGTGGACCCTTTAGCAGACCCGGGAGGAGGCCAAGGGCTGCCCCCAATCCAGTCCTCCCCGCCCCCGGCCTGCCCCTGCCCTAGCCCGGCAATCCTCGAGGAGGATAAAAAGATGCATTCATTAGGGGAGGGCGGGGAGTGGGGTCTGAGATGAATAGGAAGGGTCCTGAGTGTCCCTGCGCCCTGGATGTACAATAGACAAGGGCATTCATTCATTCATTCATTCACTCACTCATCAAATATTTACTGTGCCCTTGCTCCGTGCCAGGCTCTATCCTGTCTCTACAGACACATCGACGAGTAAGCTGAATGAATGTGTTCCTGGTAAAAGAAACAGCGCGTGCAAAGGCTTGGAGGTCGGACGGAGAGCACACTGTAGGAGAATACAATATCGCAGGAGCTAGCAAAGCAGTGTGAAAGGGTGCAACGGAGAGGAAGACAACAGCAAGATGGCCTGTTTGATTTTTGGTTGACTAAATTTATTTATTGCGAATATTTATTGAGCACATACTATGTGCTAGACTACAAAGGATACCCAAGCCTCTGCCCTCAGGGAGCTGACCTTTCATGAGTCTGTCTCCTCCATCTGACTGTTCCCCTCACCCCAGTCTGGCACAGAGCAGGGTCTCACTACACGTGTGGATGAAAGAAGTAGGTAATTTCACCATCTCCAGGTTTGGCTTACAACCGGGATTTTTCAGGTGGGAGCAGGTCCAAGAAACAAAGACACAAACATACTTTGCCTAGGCCAGGACACTCAGTTCCCAGGACAGGTGAGATTTCCTTGTTCTAGCAACAAGCCATCCACTCAGGCAGCTGGGGCCCGACCAGGAGTTCGCTCTGTATTCTGGGAATTGTAGTTCTAGGAGATGTCTAACTGCTTGAGCCTCATTGAATGATTAGGTCTTTGTAGCCCCTGCGAAAGCTGCTCCACATTCCAGCCC